CACTTGTCATTTGCCGTTATTTAGGTAGAAGGTACAGGGTGTAACCTGGGAATTGGTAGTACTTCAGTTTGTCATCCGAAATGTTTGCTTCCATAATTGTGAAAATGTCTACATCATAGATTTGTAGGATTTTCTAGACTTGGATCTTCTTGTCCGGTGGCATCCCTCCAGCATTCCACTGGAGGATGTGTAGACGTTGTGATTCGCCCTGACGAGGGCGATTTTTCTTATAGCCTTTTTTCAAGCTAATCATAATAAATAGAAGTCAAAATGTTGAGTGATAGACTTTTTTGCCGTTTGAATGTACGTTGTCCAGGGTGCACCACGTGGAGGTAAGTCTATCGCGCACCCCGATATGGAAAGATAACTAGAAAGACCTGGTTGAGTTACTAGACTGTAGATCCTATTCGGCAGGGAGTAGAGAGGAGCTGAATAGACATGTGGGAACAAGAAGTGTGCGTTGCAGACCGGTCAGGCGAGACATTGCGCAAATTGGTATGGCGACGGTTGACAACTGAACTAGCTAAAGTGCAAATGTGAGGCCAATTGTCTTTTAGGAAGTTGCCGGGTAGTCATTTGAGACTAATCGACGAGGTGCTGAAGCCGTGGCAGTAGAATTTTAATTATTAATAGGGGTTTTGAGCATCATCACCATCTTATCTAAAGTATTGATAGAACCGGTGTGTGAAAACCGATATCTTCGATGAAAAACATGCGCGAAACGGTTGTCTTGAGAAAAAAAGAAACGTGTGGCCTATATAATCCAACAACTCACAATGTGTAGATCGAGTATAACTTGTCACGTTCTTCATGAAGATTAACGAAATTACTGCCTCTTACCGTCTCAAGGAAAACGCACTTTAAGGATTAGGAGGTAGAAAATATTTTGAGATGTCAGCCATCGGAACAAAAGCCCCAGAAATGGCATGATCAAGTAGATTTTGAGGATAAGCTCAACTTAGTTGATAATAATTAGAGTTGCATATTTTGAAAATTGTAGGCAATTGCTTTTCAGTTAGACATTTTGTCCAATTTAGAGAAACCCTAATCCAAGTCATAAGTAAGCGAGAAAGCAATTGACAATGGAATTGCACTATTCCTGTTTGAGGTTTCAAATGCGTATTTGTTCTCATGATAATTTCGAACCCAAGTCTATTTAACACTAGTGATAGTCCGCAGAATGTCGTTTACAAAATACCAAAATTGCATTGTACTCATATTTAATTGAGTAGCGAAATAACACAGAAGGAAGCCCAGTAGAACGGAAAATCAATCATTAAGGTTTAAAGCAAAATAACATCCCGTTTTTATAGCAGCGCTCTGAACCGTGACCTGCCCCGGTACACGTAAGATCATAATAATCTGCTTTTAGCATAGGAATCGTGTTCAAGCTAATTTCTAGCCTCGGCTAGGAAGAATATAAGTGCAGAAATGTCCATACGGGTGAGATAGGCCAAAAGCCACTAATTTTTTACCATTCCCACTAAAGTCTGTTTCAGCTCCTAATCGGCGCCACATTAGCCGTGCTGATATCACCACCGCTATCGGCTAACGACTGAGCCATGTTTGTTTAATTCCAAGTCGCGAATTACAACATGCCTGTATATTAGTATGATTATAAATCTCATTGCCTATTTATTATTAGTAAAAACTTAGTATTATTTAACCGATACAAAAACAAATATTTCTATCACACAGGGTTGGAAGCAGCGACAAACCCATTATGGCTGGAACACATGTTCCAACATTAAACAAAGTTCGAAAAAAGGTAATAACGAAGTACAAGAGATCCATATTTATTGATAAATAGTTTACTATTTCACATCCAAAAGTGAGAGACAAATGGTTTAATTACAACTTATTGAAAGAAGCAATATCCACAGATTGAACATAATCCTCAATGGCTGTAATATTTTCTTCAAGATAGTCAGATCCGACCTACAAAAAATTTTGAAGTAAAAAATGGATGTTAGGGGCAAAATGGTCTCGTCAAGAGGAAGAGCTAACCTTATCGTCTTCGACAACACAGGCGATCTGGAGTTTCTTGATACCGTAGGCAAGAGGAACCAATTTTCCAGTACCCCAAACCAAACCATCGGTAGAAATTTCACGCACTTTAGCTTCCAACTCCTCCATATTGGTGGTATCATCCCATGGCTTAATATCTAAAACAATCATCGATTTGGCGACTGGCACATTCTTTTTAGAAGTCTTTGCAACGACTGGAACGTGCTTTGGTTTCGAATCTTCTTCCTATAAAAAAGGGCAAGATTAGTTATGGCTTGAATAGTTTTAGGGAATAAAATGAAACAAAGGCATTTAAAAAAACATACTCTTGCAAGAACATAAAAAGGAAGTAATACTTTAACGTTAGGTAAATTTTGCATTAAGAATGCAAATAGCTCTCATTTGATAATCACGAAAGTGTAGGCAAAATAGACAGAAACGAACTTCTCATCTGTTTCATGAAAGTTGAAATTTAATGAATGGGCTTACGTCATCATCACCAAAGAGATCAAAGTCATCATCAACTTCTTCCTCTTCTTTTTTGGGAGCGGGTTTGTGCACAGGTTTGGCATCCTTTGGCAATTCAGATGAGAAGATATGACCAAGACGTTTCACCTGACCTTCCAATTCATCGATACGAAGAGACATTTGCCTCACAACTAAAACCAAAATGCAGGTGCAAAGACAAACACACACATTCAAATGTTTTATATAAGTAATGCAACTTACGGGCTTCAAGGCTTTTGACACGGGAGTTCCATTGATCACCCTATTAGAAAATTATTGGAAAATATAAAAGCATGCATGCAACTGATATAAACACTAATCAATACATACAGTGTCAAGAGACTTGTCTATGTCAGCAACAATTTTTTGTATCGCCTTGACAACAAAAGAATTTTCAGACTAACACAAAAATATGGGGGTATGTATTTCACTTACTTGACTGCCCGCATGGTGAGATTGCATGCCCTTTGAAAGGAACTGCATATAATCCAGTTCCATTTGGGGATAATTGGGGAACTTGGCATAATGAGCGGCATCAAAAACAGAGGCACTGTCCATCGTCGAAACCTGCATGGATTGAATTAAAATAAACGCAAAATGTGGAGGTTGGGAAATCAAAAATAAAAGCAGAACTCCTGAACAAAAATATTGTTAATTTTTTTTAAAATAATTCAATCTTTTTTATTTTAAGGAATCTAAATTTAGATTTATTTTGTGTGGCAAAAAAGCTGGGGCTAAATTATTAATTACACTAAATGTTTACGCATTTCTAAATCCTCTTTTATCTAGAACCAAGTTGTTTTAATCAAGCTGATATGGTTTAAAAAGAAGTTATTTCTGTCATATCAACGTATCTCAATATACTGGTATTATATAAAAACCTTTCAATTGTTAAGCTTTCATTAGAGTTTAATATGATTAATTTACTATTTCGTATGAGGCTTTTTAATTTATTTCTAGCATATTCTAATATATAAAATATTTTTAGAATAATTGGATTCAACTCTTGACATAATTTGATAATTTAATGCTGCTAAACGCTTTAAGCATTATTCTTAATCAAGCTAACATAAGGTGGAAATTTCAAAATTATCTTAAAGTGAACGTTTCGATCATAGCGCATTTTCAAATCCATTATTTCGAATTTTCTTATTTATCTATCTTTCTTTAGCATAAATCTCTTTAAAATGCAATTAAATAAACTTTGAACAGTTTTCTTGACATTAAGAATTAATTTAGCATTATATTAACAACTGATTCCTGCCTATTAATGCCATTAAATTGCCAGAGAGGTGGAGCTCTGGTGTCTCTTATGAATTTCTCCCGCATTTTTATCATTATCTTTGTGCAGCATATCAGAAGATGCACATAAATTTACCGACCACTGACTTAATTTGCATTCCTTGAATAATTTATAAGGACAGCTTTATAAACGAACTTATGTATTTAAAACAGTTAAAACCTTTATAATATTAATTTTCCTCGCATAATTTAAATGCCGATTTAGGTTCAAACGTGAAGGAAAAATGGAATTCAATATGACATATAGATTATTCACTGGAAATCACAATAAATTTAACGGCCTAAACTTCGTTTAGACAGAACAAATTAATTTTAATACACTTAACTCTTATTGGCTACAATTTCGTGCAGTTACAAATATTTTGACAGATACGGATGAGAGCATTAAATGTACTTATTACGTCGTGTACCCGTCCCGAAGCCTATGACTTACTTTCCCTTATTGGAAGGGGAAAAGTTTTTGGGGAACGTCAACCTGTCTCAATAACTCTATATGATGAACATAGTCAAAATTCCAAATTGAAAATTCTTGCAAGCGAAATCAAAGATTGCGCTTCGATAGTTCTGCAAGATATATACGTCCAGGATGGTCCTGAAAGACTCTTCCGTGAAATAGACTTTGCAATAATGCTAGATACGATTGAAACTGTCAATTCTTTGCTTGGTAGACTAAAATTGTGTAAGCAAGTGTACGCGAGATACGGGAAATACCTTGAAGAAGGTGCAAAACAATCCATAAATATCATCATAGCTGGTGACCCAATATACATAAACGCTTATTTTATGAGTAGATACGCACCGTCCTTTTCCAAAAGCAGTTTTACTGGATGCTTAAGAATGGAACATGATAGAGCTACATCAATGGTAAAATATCATCTAAAATATTATGCCTTCAGGTCGCAAAAAAGCTTGACGTATCAGTTGATTCTGTTAAAAACACAGTCATATGGGGAAACTCAATGTCGAATTTCCTTGTCGATATCTCTCATGCAGAATTTCAAGCCGAGAGCAGACTTTACAAATCACCTATCGAACAAATCAATAACGATCACTGGAGAAAGTACATTCTCCAACCTTACGTCAAAAATAAATGCTCAGAGGTGTCACCAGCTAGTGAAATAGGCATCTGCAAAGCTAGAGCTATTGCCAGTCACATCAAAGATTTATGGTTCGGAACTTCAACAGTAAGTTGGCAACATCACTGACGTTTACTTCGGTAGAATTGGACATCCATGATCGTCCATAGCAGCGGTGAATACGGTGTACCGAAAAACATATTCTTTGGCTTCCCTGTTTCAATACGAAAACCCCAAAATCAACCCGAAATATTTCAAAACTTAAAATTCCATGAATGGGAGGAAGCACAATTTGTACAAAATATTCATAAAATCGACGAACACAGCAAAATTCTTCAGAAGATTTGTGAAGGCAAAGAATTAGAGGAAGAACCATGTCTTGTAAGTACAGAACATAAGAAATGGCTTAATTTTGGAAAATAAACAGATCACAAATGTCTTCACACAACTTGTCTTACATTTACATTTAAACGAGTAGAGCAGACATAATCCTCAAGTATTTTTCGATTGCACTCCAATCCAAATCGATTTCTGAATCTTTCGACGAGATTAGGGAGGAAACTTATTGGGAGATCATTCGACGGTTGCTCCCATAATAACAAACGGGGAACGGCATGATATGCTAGACGACTATGTCCCCCAGTTACAATTATGTCACCGTGCCTTAGAATAATCGGGATTATCGTTTTATTTCCAAATTCAGAATGGCCATGTGGCAAGTTTCCAGGAAAGTAATTTGAAGCTTCAAGAAGGAAAATTGCAGGACGACCAAGACTAAAATCGCAAAATTATTAAATAAGTACCAAATTACCTAATCGATATTAGAGGGGCTTTCTTGGCTAACTCGCAATCATCCACGTGAAATCCCATATTGGTCTTTTTTCTATAGCAATTCACAATAGACGCTTCAGGAACAAAGTTTAAAAAATAATCTCTTCCCGTTAAGAGGCTCTTATTGTCTCCAATAATGTCAAGCATTTTCGTGGCTACTGAGAGAAAGAATTCACCACATTTAGTAGGAAAAGGTTGTTCACAGCCAGATGGATACATTCTGTTATCCCAATCATAATGATAGCCAAGAGTTATCCACCTAAGCCGATCAAGAAGACCTCTAGTGTTAGGCGACATCTCTTGGAAACTCATTGCCCAAAGTTTCGGAGTCACTTCTTCAAGAATATTGCTTCTCGCCTCAGTGTTGATAGGCCAATCAAATAAGATATCTTCGTAAAACGAATTGACAGCAGCATCAGAAATAGCTGACCGAAATATGTAGAATTCTTCCTCATAGTTATATTGGACAGCAAAGGAACGCTTGAGAAACTCACTGCTTGAATCTAAGAATTCAGTACTTTTAAACAAATAAATTACTTTGGAGCGTTGTTTTAGACACAAGCTCATCTAATGATCTATCGACTTCATCTAACTTGGCAGGACAATCGGTGATGCTTTTATAAAACTTGAAAACTCTTCTTCGTTCTTCACTTTCAGAGATCATATCTACGATTAAAAGGAAATATGATTTCATTTAAAACCACGAACTTGATTGGCAGCATTATAAATGAATAAATGAGAAAAAATATGAAAAATAACATGAAGTTTCACCATGCAGACAGACATTTAGCACAATGCAATTTAATAGAAAGAAGCGCACTTTTCTGCATTATTTGCAAATATATAGAATTCTAAATCAGAGAGCAAAGCATAAACTTGGCATTAAAAATTTGGCAAATATTAAAATCAATCAGTATATTAAGATATTACTGTACTGTAAAATTCGGTCACATTGATCAATCCCTTTTAGCAATATGCAACCATGGTTTTTAATAATTGGTCTCCTAACATGCTTTAACATATTACTTCGTGATAATTTATTAAACGATTTTTAGATATTTTAGTGTTTAATCGCTCTCCTTCTATGGATAGCAGTTGACAACAACTTTAGAAACCACATGCCTTTTCTTCAATATTCATTTCTTTGTGATCGGCTGCTGCGTACCCCCCGTTCCATATTTATACCCCAACTTTTACAAGATTTATTTTACATAGCCCTGTTATTTTCAAATGAGAACTAATATGAATTCGCCATATTCAGAATTAAATGGAAATAGATACTGACTGGCCTACCAAAGTTTGCAGGAATAAACAATTTTAAATTGTATTCCAATTGAAATTATGATTTCTCATGATTTACCTTATGCTTATATCTGTGAACTTTAAAAGTTTTTTCTTTTTGATATAATGGCTACTAAGTTAGGTAGGTGAAGCAAAACTTATAATTGTTGATTAGAAGTAAAAATCGAAAGAATTTGAATTTCGAGTACATAATGAAGATTTCATTTGAAGTTTGGTTAAGACAAATCTAATTTCATTCTCAAATGTTAGTTCGCTAAATTTTTTCTATAAAATTATGAATAAATATACCATATTAATGTTACAATTAGACGTTTTAAATAACTTGAACATGCTGGATGCAGTAACCAAAAAATGCTGACACTATCCATTTTTCTGTTGCACAATTTGACAAGTCTGGCTTGCAATATCAGCACTATCACAAATAGAGAAGATCCAAGTTGAAATATTTAGACACCATTATAATATAACCCATTTGAAGTCCTAGTTGCAACCTTGAGGACCACACCAATCGTAAAAATTGAAAATTCTATCAAACTTATACAGAAGATTATTTGAGAAATCATGGTGAGTTATTCGTCGAGGGCAATCGGTGTTCCTTCTATAGTTGAACCTATAGATCCTCTACATTAGAAACCTAAGCTTTTCAATAAATAAATGTTCAATAGATATCGTAACATATGACTGCAGATCTACCTCAAGGGAACGTAACTTAGTGATCTCCATTAATTTAGAATGCGCCTCTATCTTATCGCTTCCATGTTGAGTGAATACATAGCAAAATCATTTGTCATTTTTTAATCACAGGAGAAAATATTAAATTGAAGTGGTCTGATAGGCTAATTAGATTAAAAAGCCTTTTAACAGACAAAAGACTTCGTAAACAACCATTGGCCACAAGTCTGAGGAATTTAGGACTACACCGTAAGTGAATACAGGAGTGTACGATTCAAATTCGAGATCACTTTCAGCACCCGTCCAATACCATCCACACCCACTCCACACACTTATCACGTAAATCATTTCCCTGACCACCAATCCTCTTGCAAAAAAAACTATTTTTCAATTCGAGAATTTTCCACCCGGTTTGTTGCTGTGGCTTTAAATCAGATCTAATTACCAAATCTAAGCGATAAAATGGGAGTATAAGTTAGAAATATTGGTGTGGGGGGTGGGGGTGGGGGGGGAGAGGGGGGAGGGGAGTGAAAGGCAATGACACAAAAGAGTTCCAGCAAAAACTCCAACAGTGGTCTTCACTATCCTATTTACCCATAGCATTGAAATGGTATATGAAATGCCTACTGCTATGGTAATTATTGGAGTACTTGAATCAACAATGCAAGTAGCATCTAAATCAACAGCACCTCACTAAGTGCTTTTGGTGGCTGCAACCTTAGGAGAATTCAATTTATACTAACACGATGCGATCTCCCGAAGGAAGGACCTTTACAGATATTTGGGTGGAACATTGAGGTCCAGCATAAAATTAATTAATAAGCTTTGATCTCTAAGTCAAAATATACCCTACTAGAGAATTGCGGACTATCACTATTTTGAACTGCATCCGATATTGACGTAAGACATGCGTTAACTCTATCTCTGTGTCCCTCAGTGGGGAGTTCTAGGAAGGATGAATTTGCAAGTTATACTTTCTTCAAATTCTGTCCAATGGTGTTTGAATAAGAAGGTCAGGAATTCTCCCCACTATAGATGGCTGCCAGAAAGGGACGATTTCTTCTTGACCAAATGGCAATCCAATTAATATTAGTGTTAACATCCGATAGACTTACCTCCACGTGGTGCACCCTGGACAGCGTAACTTCGTACGGCAAAAAAGACTCGGCATTCGTTTTTGACTTCGATTTATTATGATTAGCCACCTGGACAACGTATCTTCGTACGGCAAAAAAGTCTATCATTTTCGCATTTGATTTGACTTCGATTTATTATGATTAGCTTGAAACAAGGCTATAAGAGGAATCGCCCTCGTCAGGACGAATTACAACGTCTACAGATCCTCCAGTGGAACGCTGGAGGGATTTCACAGAACAAAAAGATCCAAGTCCAGAAAATCCTACAAACCTATGATGTAGACATTTTCACAATTATGGAAGCGAAAATTTCGAATGACAAACTGAAGTACTACCAATTCCCAGGTTACACGCTGTACCTTCTACCTAAATACCGGCAAATTGCAAATGGAATTCTAACTGGAGTAAAAGAAGGCCTCAGATCGCATTACGATCTAATCAAGAGTATGGGCTTGACGCAGGACATATGCGAAAAAATCCGATTAAATGTTTGGAAATGTCAAAACCACTTCAAGATGTATGCAATCTATAATCCACCCCAGAATAGTCTTAACTTTGATCTTCTGAACATCTCACGCAAAACTGTAGTATTAGGTGACTTCAACCCCCATTCCACAAGATGGGATATTAGAATACAAACATAGATAGAAAGGAAATCGATGACAAGCTAAACAGCAACTTTCTGGAACTTATTTACAGCAATGAGGATCCGGCTACATAATTCTTGTTTTCCTCTTGGCTTCAAGCGACATCAGTGAGCATACTCGCGACTTGCTCCTGGCTTCAAGCGACATCAGTGAGCATACACGCCGTATTTCCTCTTGGCTTCAAGCGACATCAGCGAGCATACACGCCGCACATCGACGATCCTGGTTCTGGTCACAAACCAGTCATTGCTAGTGCTGGTTCTGGTCACAAACCAGTCATTGTTAGTATTACCATGGGCAACAAAAGCATGACAAGGAAAGTGCCAACTAAGCTATGAAGGAACTTCAAGAAGGCTGACTGGTCTAGCTTCACTAACCTTTTAGAGAATGAACTTCACACAAGTCCACTCAACTTCAACCAGCATCCTGACAAACTTTGCACTGATTTCACGAATATTATGATCAGGTGTGCAAAGAAATCTATTCCCCGAGGCAAGACTAAACACTATCGAGTGTCTTGGTCTAAACACCTTGAGGAACTGAAAAGAAAGAGGGACGCCCTTCGCAACACTGCTGGTCAGACTGGAAGAACGGAAGACGTACAAGCCTGGAGACGGGAGTCAGCTGTCCTAAGACAAGCCAACTTATAATCTAAACGGACTTCCTTCGACAAGTTCATCTCAAATATCAACCATCAAAGTGATGGACAACGCACTTTAATTTTGGGAAGTTCATCTCAAATATCAACTATCAAAGTGATAGCCAAGCACTTTCAAATTCCTGGGTAACCTCGCAAAAAAAAAGACCCAAGAAAGAACCAATACGTTTAAAAAACAAACTAATTTCCACCAACTACCAATAAGTTTTAAAAACAAACAGCTTACCACCGACTCCAAATATGCTTAAACAGCAAATTGCTTACCACCGACTCCAAAGCGCTTAAACAGCAAATTGCTTACCACCGACAACGAAACAGTACTTTGCGAGGTTCTATTCCTACAAGCAAAAGAAAAACCCATTTTTCAGAAAATATTCAAGAGAGATAAAGATACAAGTAAGATTGTTTGGTTATGAAGGAAGACATAGCAACACCAAATAATGTACTTACTGTACCATTCATACCATGCGAACTTAATGCTGCGATAAAACAGCTAAAGTGTAAAAAGTCTCCTGGCAAAGACGGTATTCATCCGGAATTTCCTTTTAGAATGGAACCAGAAGACGGCACTCATCCAGAATTTCTAATTAGAATGGGATGGTATTCATCCAGAATTTCTAATTAGAATGGGTCCAAAAGAATCCATCCGGAATTTCTAATTAGAATGGGACCAAAAGCCAAGTCCGGAATTTCTAATTAGAAAGGGACCAAAAGCCAAGGAAATGCTTTACAACAAAATCTGGGAGACCAGTCTTGTACCAAACCGAAAAATCTAGGAGACCAGTCTCGTACCTAACCAATGGAAAGTTGCCATAGTAATACCAGTACTTACCAACCAATGGAAAATTGCCATAGTAATACCAGTACTAAAAATCAATGGAAAGTTGCCATAGTAATACCAGTACTAATAAGGGCAAAGACCCTAGCAATTTTGTCAACTAAAGGCCTATCTCCCTCACAAGCGCGCTGGCTAAACTTATGGNGCCAACTTATAATCTAAACGGACTTCCTTCGACAAGTTCATCTCAAATATCAACCATCAAAGTGATGGACAACGCACTTTAATATTCCTGGATAACCTCCAAAACAACAGAGAAAGACCCAAGAAAGAACCAATACGTTTAAAAAACAAACTAATTTCCACCAACTCCGAAATAGCTAACTACTTTGCGAGGTTCTATTCCTACAAGCAAAAGAAAAACCCATTTTTCAGAAAATATTCAAGAGAGATAAAGATACAAGTAAGATTGTTTGGTTAAATGAAGGAAGACATAGCAACACCAAATAATGTACTTACTGTACCATTCATACCATGCGAACTTAATGCTGCGATAAAACAGCTAAAGTGTAAAAAGTCTCCTGGCAAAGACGGTATTCATCCGGAATTTCCTTTTAGAATGGAACCAAAAGCCAAGGTAACCATGCTGACGCTTTTCAACAAAATCTGGGAGACCAGTCTCGTACCTAACCAATGGAAAGTTGCCATAGTAATACCAGTACTAATAAGGGCAAAGACCCTAGCAATTTTGTCAACTAAAGGCCTATCTCCCTCACAAGCGCGCTGGCTAAACTTATGGAAAGAATGGTTAACAGGAGGCTCACCTGGTTCCTTGAGACCAACAATTTTCTTAGGAGTGAACAAGCAGGTTTAAGGCCACAAAGATCAACGAACCAACAAGTAGCCACTTTCTCCCAACACATCAACGATGTCATTGATGCAAGAAATACCCTTACGGCTGTTTTCGTCTATTTTAAATCAGCATATGACTTAGTATGGAAAGAGAAGCTAACTCTTAAATTGGCAAAGATTGGTATTAAGCATAACATGCTAAACTGGATTAAAGCATTCATTGGACAAAGATCATGTAAAGTCAGATATGGAAATGCTCTATCAAAATCCAATCTTTTACAAACAGGCCTTCCACAGGGAGCTTTCTTCCACAGGGAGCTTTCACAAGCTGCACTCTTTTCAATGTCTTCATCAATGAAATATCCGAATTGGTACAGACAGTCAAGGGCATCAAGTGCTTACTTTATGCAGATGATCTTGTTCTATGGTATTCCGCCCCTAAGAAAAACGCTCAGGAGAGGACAGAGAGTGCCCTAAATTGTGCACTTAAACTACTGGCAAGCTGGTGCGACCACAGTGGAATGGTTATCAACACCTCGAAAACTGCATTGCAAACATTTTCTTTGGCCCGTCACGGCGCGAACCCGCTTCTAAGGTACAAGGATACAACCCTAGATAGAACCATCGAGTTCACATATCTCGGAATGACGTATAACAGAAAGTTAAGGTGGAAAAGTCACATTACTAAAATAGCAGAACGAGTCTCAAATAGACTGAATATACTGAAGCGTCCTGCTGGTAGCGCATGGGACTGTGCACGCTCAACTCTTGACACCGCTCACATGATGTCTATTCTGCCAATAATGTTGCATTGCTGTGAATCCATTAGCGGACACTGATGTAGTGTATTGCATCCAACTGCTTGCCTTCTTCAGGAAATCAAACACCCCTCCAGGACAAATGCGCTCACTGGCTCTTGAGACAATCAATGTCAACTATCTTGTAGATCAATGGCTCCAAGTCTTCACTGATGGGTCATACATAGAAAACCAAACAAACGTTGGTGTTGCTGTTTATACCGGGGGATATAATAGATCCGCTATTGAAGGAGAAATAGAGGCCGTTAGGATAGCACTATGCCAATTATGTTGCCTGGAAACGAAATTCACCAAAGCGGTGATACTTTCAGACTCACAGTCAGCAATAAACTCAATTGGAAACAGAGAGACACCCAAGACAGCTGAGATAAAGGAATGTAGAAAACTCTATGAGCTGCTGAGAGAGAAAAACAAAACAGTGGTCCTACAATGGATTCCTGGTCACTGTGGCATTAAAGGCAATGAGCTTGCTGACACACTTGATAAGAAGGGGGCAACGATTTTGCAGTTCATGGACCGGCCGATGTCTTTCCACACAATGAAGGCCTTAATCAGGAGAGAATTTCAGACCTCAAGGTTTTACGAACTTAAAGCTCGAACAAAGGAGAAGGAGTGGACAGTGGCCCTCTCCGACACAGCCCACTGGCCAAGAATCGAAGTCGTTACTGAGTTTAGACTACGTACCGGTCACGATTGCTTGGCAAAACACCTTCACAAACGTACCGGACACGATTGCTTGGCAAAACACCTTCACAGAGGGGAGTATACACTCAACCCACATGCCCTCTATGTAACCTAAGAGTATACACTCAACCCACATCCCCTCTATGTAACCTACAGGAGGAAATGGTATACACTCAACCCACATACCCTCTATGTAACCTACAGGAGCCACTCAGCCCCCTTTCACAGACTGGGAGTATACACTCAACCCACATGCCCTCTGCACAGATTCGTACCGGACACGATTGCTTGACAAAACACCTTCACAGATAGCCGTTGATGAGTTTAGACTACGTACCGAACACGATTGCCTATCAAAACACCTTCACAGATTGGGAGTATACACTCAACTCACATGTACACCTTCACAGATTGGGAGTATACACTCAACCCACATGGACCTTCACAGATTGGGAGTATACACTCAACCCACATGCCCCCTTCACAGATTGGGAGTATACACTCAACCCATATGCCCTTTCACAGACTGGGAGTATACACTCAACCCACATGCCCTCTGGATTGGGAGTATACACTCAACCCACATGCCCCCTATGTAGCCTGGGAGTATACACTCAACCCACATGCCCTCTATGTAACCTAACGATTGCTTGGCAAAACACCTTCACAGATTGGGAGTATACGAGCCGTTGCTGAGTTTAGACTACGTACTGGACAACCGTTGATGAGTTTAGACTACGTACCGGTCACGATTGCTTGGCAAAACACCTTCACAGATTGGGAGTATACACTCAACCCACACCCCCTCTATGGAACCTGCAGGAGGAATTGGAGAAGACCCACCTGATTATTTGTCCAGCCTTAAAGACAAGGACGGAAACCCAGAGATACTGGGAAGCAAGAAGACAGCTAATGAACTGCTATTAATGAACTACTATAAATGTACCCACCCACCCTTGGGGAAGCTGAAGTCAAAGTTTAGGGGCTAATGATAAATATCACAAAGCTTGCCATTTGAAAAAAATTTTGCAATAAAGCATATCAGTTCTAATAGTTTTCCTATTTGAGCCACCGTCTTTGTAATAGATCAGATAATTCTTATGAAAGAAGAAAGCGCATTTGCATTCACAACTTATTTTCTCTAGATTTTTCGTGCAATTGCAAATATTTCATGTCTAACAATCTATCACTTCAAGTTAGTGCACATCCTAATATTTAGAAGCCACTCAAATACGAGTTTGTGGTAGATTGGCAGACAATTGTGTATTTTAATTTCTTTAACTTAATCCCCATTAAGATTATTTGCACACATTTTGCAAAAAAATAGTTAGCATATTCACTTGAACAATGTGTTTCTCCTTAAAATCGTTGAGTCTTGACCCATACTGCACTTTGTGCATAAATTGACATTGGCATTTATTTGTACAAAGATACTGCACGTGATTTTGCCAACACTCGCAGATGGAGATTATATGCTGTGAAGTATTTATGCAGGAAATTTATTTGTAATAATGATAATTTGCCTTGCCATAACACTATGTAATTGAGATAGTAGTACAACTACGTCAACGGGTTCTTCAAACGCGCATAATGCTGAGAGTGGCCGGATCGACATTGAAGGTACCAGCAACATTTACTACTCTTGATGGAGGAAATCTACTTGAATCAATGCCAAGGACGTCTTCAAACTGCCATGGAATGAATTTAAAAATAGACAAAAATTTGTCAGTTAGTCGTAAAGTGGGGCTCCTTTAAGTAAAGTGAATGAACGACTCCTTTCTTATTGTTGATAAATTCAATATCTCCTTATATATGGTAAGTAAAACAGACTATCAACATCATGCAGAAATTTAAAAATAGCGACAAAACAAATTGAATGATTTAAACTTTTCCAAATAGAGTGCAAATAACATGGATACTTACGTGTTTCAGACTGTGTCGTGGCAACGAGAAGTGCTACATAAAGGTGGAAATAAAACCGCATTCTTGAAGACTGTAAATACGTTGGTCCATAAGGTGTGGCAAACATTTATATACCGGGCATATATGACCCATGACCTGTCGGAATACACGACATTTCTGGTTCAGCTGTAAAAATAGTTGTGAAAATATGTGCTCCACACAATTTGGCAGAATCATATACTCAGGTGAATGAATATATTGTTATCTCAAACCTGGTGAGTTACAGATCGAAATTGTTAAATTGCCACGAGTTGAATTAATGTGCTTCCCTGGAAATATTTCAGATCCATTTTAACATTCTTAATGCACTCATTATACATTATGTGTTCTCTAAGTGGCATTAAGACATCAACTTCATTTTTAACCTTACCATTGTCAGTTTCAATCCCTGAGTCCATTAGCCTATTAAGACTAACAAAAGCATTATTTCAAATGGCAGGCTTTATTATATTTATCATTAGCCCTTAGACTACCAAAAGTTGAATTGTTAGACCTCAGCAAAAATGATTGTGTCTACTATGATCACCATAACCCAATATCTCTTAAGACTCTGTTGTCTGCTGTGGAGCAAGCCTTGGAGACCTCTCAGGGTGGTGGGGGGGGGGAGGGGAGTGGTGTATAAACTTCTCGTAGATTATTTGGAACTAGTCAATGACACTTTGGCATTGGCTATTTAAGAAAACATCTCAATTCATTATCCTTCCATCCCATTTGAACAAACACATATATACATAATCTGCTATGACACGTTCCAAAATGCGTTTCTCACCTCCCTCATATTTTACTATGTCCAAATTGTTTGAGTTAGGGTATCAGGCAATAATGTCAAGAAATGATATGCCATTTCCTATGATATTTCACTTCGTGACATGGGAAGTAAATTGCGACGCTATAGAACTTTAGAGCTTGGGTGTGTAAATCAGCCAAGAAATGAGTGTCTCGTGCAGGTATCTATGGCAGCAGTGGTGGTGACACCCATTCATCTCTCTCTCCCCCCGACATGCCCATTATTGCAGCCAACCAGCCTACAGGCTCAGCTTCATCGACAAAGCCGTGTTCCAATCCCTTCGTGACTACTTGTTATCGCTCTTCATACCATTTGCCATCTCCTCCTCCTCCTCGACATGAAGCCGAGGCTTTACGCGTGTGACACGTGTTTTTTTCGCTCGAGTGACTGACCAAAGCAAAAACACTATGACAATAATTGCAGGAATTCACGTGTTTAATTGGGTGCTAACCAAGCTGAAGAATCGAGAATTCCGGATGCGAAACCACTTATTTCCAAAAACTCATTCTAATTTAAATTTAATTTAATTTTAATTTAATTTAATTTAAATCTCCCAATTCGAAATTATTTCCTCCACCCAATTTTCAATTATAATGACTTCGACGAAGGTCATTCAATTGTTCGCAATTGCTACTAATTTTATGAACTACCTTCTTATTGAGTAATGTAGTGTTATGCAGCCTCAAGGTGAAAAGTTAAGAAAATAAAATCTGGTAACTTCATTTATAAGTAACAATAAATTTCTTGAATTATGTTCAAGATAACTGTTAACGTTATAAGCACCATGGAAGGGCCAGGAAGTGTAAACAATCTCAATTATTGCTTTCGCCCCACAATAAATAATTTTAATAATTTTAATTTAATTGGAGAATGTAACGAGTTAAATAAAAGTAGGAATGGCTTTTTTAAACGGATTTAATGCCATCACAACTGTCTAAATTAGGGAATCTCAATAAGAATGATACCTGAGGAGTCATAAGATGGCAAAAGTACCGACAGACACAAAGGTTGCCCTTGAAAAAGAATATGCGTGGCCCCCCGTACTGGAGTCTTTGTAAAGGAGCCCCTGCTGAATTAGCCAAAAGATCTTATTGGGGAATAAAATTAGTCCCGACACGTTCTTGAATCTTGGTCAAGTATTCGCTTTGTTGACTTAATTTTTTTAACTTCTCACCTCATCTTTCTATTGGACATTGCATAGAAAGCCATTGGAACTTTGTTGAAATGGTGGCTTTGATGTTGTACTTGGTTTTAGTGGAGTTGACATACTCACATTTGCCACTTGCTCATCTGCACATTCGAAATTATCATTCTATTTGAGTGAAATTTGAAAACGCTGCAATTGAGATATTTAATAACATGTTATCACAATGGCCATATTGGCATCGCGTTGGTACTTGCAGACATTGAATTACGTTGCTATAGTAAATATATTTTCTTGAAAAAAATATCCGAAGGCCCAATCTTTGGAGTGTTTGGAAGTGCTCATTGACTGAGTATGAATCAAAGGTCGCAAAGTCTTGAAATCATTTGGAAATAAAATTAGTTCTCTCTTCTTCTATAGCCTGTTAACATTTTTGAAAACTATTGAATTCTTGTTTAACTGGTGTCTTTGATGCAATAATTGGATTCAGTGGACGTAGCATACTAACACTTGCCACCCTCTCATCTGAACATTCGGAAAAGCTTTTCCTTCTGTGTGAACTTTGGATGGATTTCAGTTGAGATAAGAGAGCATATTTACCACTATGAATTTACAAAGGTGATATTGACATGCGTTTGTGCTAGCTTACTTTGAGCTATCCAGTTATTTGTTATTTTTTCTCCATTTTGATTGAGACAACATTATTTCTTTCAAAGTTGCTGTTATGTTGAGTTGATGCTGGACGAACTCACAAGGGTGCTCAAATATGCGGATTTATAAAATAACGGATAACCAAGGAAACTCATATTCAAATTAATCTCCCATGCAATAAAGCATGAGCCAATTCACGCTATTTATTGCCGTCCTCCGCTTAATTCGTTTTTGATAATTCGGCTCCTTGTTGTCCATGTTTTTAAAAATAATAAATAAAATAGCTTTTTGGTTACGATGACACTGTAGTAGCTATCAATTATTTATATAAAATGGCAGGCACTATGATAGTTATCATTAACCCTTTAGTTGACTTCAGGCTTCACAGAGGGGAAGGAACATCAAAGAGAAAAAAAAAGAAAAAAAAGTCGAGAGGGTGGGGAGGGG